ACAACAGTCATCATGTCAATTCACCTGGTTAAGGATCTTCTCCTTCTCCAAGGAATAGCACCTCCAGCAGCATGTCCAAAGTATGTGAGGTGAAGCCTCATCAAGACATATCTGTTTGTTCTTTTGGTTTTCCATGTGATGGTCAGTGCTCTTCTCCAACACCACAGCTCAAAGGCATTATTTTTTTTTCTGTCATCTTTATTTATTGTCCAGCTCTCAGATCCACAATCTCAGTCTCAAGCCATTGCTGCAGTCACTGTGTCAGTCCACCTGGTTGAGGGACTGTCTCCTTTTGCCATCCTTCCACCTTTCCAAGCATGTTATCCCTCTCCAGCCTGTCCTAGCAACACATCCAAAGTATGTGAGATGAATCTTTGTCATACTTGCCTCCAAGGAGCACTCTGGCTACACCTTCTCCAACACATTTCTTTTTATTCTTTTGGCAATCCATGCAATATTCAGTACTGTCTTCTAACACCACAGCTCAAAGGCATCAATCTTCTTCTGTCATCCTTACTGTCCATCTCTCAGATGCATTGCAATTGACTAAAGACCATGGCATGAGTCAGACACATATTAGTCCTCAAACTGACATTGTTACTCCTCAATAATTTGGAGAAGTCCCTGACTACAGACTTTCCCAGTGCAGTATGTCTCCTGATCTCCTGACTGCTGGTATCAAGTGTATTGATTGTGGATCCAAGTAAGATAAAGTTGTTGACAGTTTCAATCTTTTCTCCATTTATCATGATGCTGCCTATCCAACCAGTGATTGCCTTCTTGACATTGAGATGCAATCCATATTGAAGGCTGCAGTGTTTGATCTTCTGCAGCAAGTGCTTCAAGTCATCCTCACTTCCAGCAGGCAAAGTTGTGTCATTTGCATACTGAATGTTATTGATGAGTCTCCTTCCAATCCTCAAACCACATTCTTCTTCATGGAATCCAACTTCTCAAGTAGTTTGCTCAGCATACAGATTAAACAGATTAAGTATGGCAGGGTTGTTGTTACATGCTGTTGAGCTGTTTACGATTCATAGCTACCTTATGAACAAATATGTCTCTACAAATGTTGGATGTATTTTACCCCATCAAGGAGATTGGCTAGCTTTCTAATAATGATGCAAATACAGTAAAAGACATCTTTAAGTTTGGAACAAGCAAATAAAGTAAGTAAACTACTAAGGAGGGCATTGGTCAGTTTTGTCACACCACCAGGCTTAAATTGAGCAAGTTCAAACGCAGAAAATGGGAATGTTGCTACTATCAAGAAGGAAGGAGACACTGTAGGACTTCCTTTTGTCCAGAGATTCCTGAATAAAATGAAACAATGCTGTGGCTGAGATGCAGTTGTACTGATAGTAGCAGAGATAGCAGAGAACCTAAAGCACTGGCAGCAGGATAGGTGGCAGTGAATCAGAGACCGATGTAAGACAGAACTGAACTAGGACTGTCAATTCACAGAACCAGAGCCCAGGACCATTGCCTATGCTTGCTGGCAGAGGGTGAAGAAAAGGGAAAGACATGTAACTGGCAAAAGCAAAAGAGATTTGTAACACTGGCCCACAGCTAAGAGGCAGATTCCAGAGCCACAAGGCTAAATAAAGATCAGAGGGAGACCATCTGTAAAAACAATGCCTGAGAAGATGTCCTGACCAAAGAATTGTACCCTGAGTGTTTTTAATCTGAATTGTAACCTGTAACTTCCTTAATAAACCCTTAATAATATCACTTACAGTCTGTGATTGGATGTGGCTATTGCAATGGATTGGTAAACCTAGTAAAGGAGTAGCAAGAGCTGTGGGAGGGATGGTTGGTGTTAGAATGGGTAGAAGAAGGAGCAGAAGTGTGAAAGCATGTCCAACCTCATAGGAATAAGTTTAGTGCTGTTGTTAATATTGACAGGGATTCTCTTCTTGTGGAGGTCATGGAGGTCAAAGGCCCTTGCATCCCACATTGGCCACATGGTTTTACAACCTCTTCTAAGCTGTACATTACTTATTTTATGAATAGAAAAACTGTACACATAAATTACACTATCAAATAAACCCATGGAAAAAAGCAAAATGTCATTACAAAAACAAAGGAAAAAGGGAAAAAATCAAAATGGATTTCAGAAGAGACTCTAAAGATTGTACTGGAGCATCTAGAAGCCAAAACAAAAGGAAAACATGTCGAAGTGAAAGAGCTGAACAGATGACTTCAAAGGGCAGCTTGAGAGGACAAGGCCAAGTATTATAATGGAATGTGCAGAGTGCTGGAATTGAAGAATAAAAAGGAAAAACTCATTCTGCATTTCTCAAGCTGAAAGAACTGAAAAACAAATTTAAGCCTCGTGTCACAATATTGAAAGATGCTATGGGCAAAATATTGAATGACCCAGAAAGCATCAAAAGAAGATAGAGGGACTACACAAAGTCACTGTACCAGAAAGAACTGATTGACACGGAAAAATTTCAGGAAATACCATATGAACAGGAGCAAATGGTAATGAAGGAAGTAGTAGAAGCTGCATTGAAGGAATTGGCAAAAAATAAGGCCCCAGGAATCGATGAGATACCAATTGACTTGTTTCAATTAACAGATGCAGGATTGGATGCACTCACTAGTCTATGCCAGGAAATTTGGAGGATGGCTGTCTGGCCAACAGACTGGACTGGAAGAGGTCCATATTTGTTCCCATTCCCAAGAAAGATGATCCAACTGAATGGGAAAATTATAAAACAATATTATTAATATCACATGCAAGCAAAATACTGCTGAAGAACATTAAAAAATGGCTAGAATAGTGCACCTCAATGTCAGGAAAATGTAGATTCTTACCAATGGACCAATAAGTAGTGTCATGATGGGTGGAGAGGAGATTGAAACTGTCAATGGCTTCATCTTGCTTGGATCCACAGTTAACACCCTTGCTATAAGCACTCAGGAAATAAGGAGACACATTGCACTGGGAAAATCTGCAGTTAGGGACCTTTTCAAATTATTGAGGAGTAGTGATGTCAGTTTGAGGACTAAGGTGCATGCGATTCAGGCATGGTATTTCTGATTACTAGCTATGTATCCGAGACCTGGACAAGGATGACAGGAAACGAATAGACAAATTGATGCCTTTGAGTTGTGGTGTTGGAGAAGAACACTGAACATCCCACAGATGGCCAAGAGAACAAGAAATTTTGTCTTGGAGAGGGTGCAGCTGGAGTAATCTTTGGAGGCAAGAATGATGAGGTTTTGCCTCACATATTTTGTATATGTTGCTAGGAGGTGCTATTTCTTGGTGAAGGATATGATACTGGGAAGGGTGGAGGAGGCACAGTGAAGGAGAGGAAGACTCTCAACCAAGTAGATTGATACAGTGACTGCTGCAATGGGCTCTTGTGTGTCAGGAAGTGTGAGGATGACGCAGGATAGAACAGGATTCAGATCTTTTGTTTATAGGGTTGCTATGAGTCATGCTAGACTCGACAGCACCTAAAAATGGACAACAGCATCAAATAAAATCATGACAGAGAGGGAACGCTACAATTTTTGAAAACGATAAAATACTTTCATCAATATTTGAAAAAGATATTATTTTTTAATTTTATACTTATTGTAAATTATTTTTGCTGAATAATAGATTATCTTTTTAACCACATAATGTATAGTTTTTAACCAGGCAATGAGTGAATTTTTAAAAAAATGGGTCAGCTATATTTCACTTCAGGAAGACCACTCATTAAAGGAAGGAATTGACTTCTGAAGTCTGTGTCTTACAACTGGGGTGGGGCGGGGTTGGGGTGGGGGGAGGAAGCAATGTAGACTCACAGCATCCCTACATCCTGGAGCGTAGAACTGTGCTCCATGGCTTTTTCCTGGCTTTCATCTTTTGGAAGGAGATAATCAGATTTTTCTTCTGTGGTTAGATTCAAAGAATCCTCTTTTCATCTAGTGCCCTAGAGGAAACTGCACCACTCAGATCCTTTTATGTGTGCCTATCAGAGAACAGAAATAAGTGGAAGACCAGGGTGTGTCATTTGACAGGCTGTGTCACCACCATGGCAAGTAAAGAAGCAGGGAGACAGGAGATGATTTTTATAATTCCAAATCAAACATCACAATCAACAGAGGGTTTTTTAGATGGAAAAGAAGAAAACAGTGAGTGTTTTGCTGGCAACACAGAACAAACTTTGGATGCTGCTAATGCAGAAGGATGGGTGTCTTAACAGCTCACATGACATTGCTATTTTATGTTAATAAGGGAAGAGTTGTCAATTAAAAAAAAATATTTGAAAGAAGACACTACCAGGAAAAAAATCTGTTCCTCTTCAAATTCTTCCCCTCACAATGGCCAACTCCACCCTACAATTAGAAATCAGCCTAGTGAGAACCAGGAATAACCAGGAATAAAAATGTACAAGTATGCTTCCAAAACCTTGATTGTACGATTATGTTAGACATAAACAACGAAATGACGGCACACTGTTCAAGTAGAGAGATTGGCTTCAATGCTTTGCCCAAACTATATTTTTTTAAATCTTGGTGGTATGTTTAAATGTTGCTCCAGAAAGCTAATGTTTCATGTTTCAAATCAGTGTTTCCTTTTTACCAATGCATTTGCTTGCTCAGCAATGTTTGGTGCTCTCAGAATTGAAATTGTGCCTTATTATACATTTAGAAATCTTTCTTTCTATAGTTATAAAGTGAACCAGAATGAAGAGTGACTATTAATCAAACATTATTGACTTAATATATTATAAAAGAATCTGTGACTTAAGTTGAAGTTTTATTAGATGCATCAGTCAGGCAGTTTTTATAATGTTCAAATTAAGAAAACAAGAATAAAGTGAAAGTTAATAAATTTAAAAATAAATTTAGGTGAATCTACACATGACTAGACAGGGTTTATGATATATCTGTAGAATTCTCTGGTCAATATTTTTGTGTATTTAACATCAAGGATTTTTTTTTAAACCATACAGTGATTCTGGGAGTCACTGAATTTTCAGCTGCTGCATTTTCTACTCTACATCTGGTAGGTTCTTCTTCCTTTCAGTTTGTGCATTTCCTGTATTCTAAAAAGTAAATAGAAACAGGACCTTAATTAAAGAAATGGTGAATCTCTGGCTAAGGAAAAACAGCCACAGGTAAGTTTTTGTATTTCACACATAGAGGTTATTGCATGAAATAGGTGGAGATTATTGAGCAAAGAATTTCTCTCCATTATCAGCCCACCTTTCTCTTACCTAAGTCACACATTGAAAGTAATTTGGGATTTTTCTTGGTCACATAGCCAGGCTGTTTCAATATATATTTAATAGGTCTATTATATGAATGAGAGGTGCCTAGATTTTGCTGGATAATTAAAAAAATCTAAGTCAAGGACAACACCAATAATAAAACAAACAAATTGCTATTCCCTATCTTATGTTTTTTTTAAAAAATAACACATATTCTTTCATGCTCTAAAATAATGAGCTATAAATGAAAAATTTAGGAAATTTTCTCAATTCTCACATTAATTTATTGAAAGTGCTTGTTCTAACCTTATATACAGTTTTAAGTCACTTGTCAGAAACTGCATTTGAATGGGAAAAGAAACTAAACCCAACATATATCAGTGACTTCAAGTTATTCTTAATGACTACAATTTGTTTCAAGGTCACTTTTTAAAAATGGTAATCTTTACTGGAGTTCTATTTCACATGAGAAAAAAGGGTTTTCTTACAGTATTTTTTACTCTTAAAATTACAGTGTCTTAGGAGTTCCTTTTTTCCTGCACTAGAACATAATTTGAGTTGCATGGGGCTCTTATAGGACAGAGAGATAAATGCATGCTGCACCTTATTAGTCTGTCCAAACTCAGGAACCTTTCTTCCCTAGTCATTCAAAAGTGGACAGATATATATATATATATACTGCAAAACATGCTGTAACAGGAACAATTTCCCCAAGTTTAAAACAACTTTATTACTTTTTATCATGAATTAAATAAGAGTTCTGTTGGCCTAATGAGTAAGGAATTGTGCCGTCATCAGTGCTTCACTGCAGGAAAATAAGCAAAGTAAGCAAATCCTTTCTCATGTGATTTACAGTCTGAAAACCCATTATTGGTTTTCTTGCTCTACAGCATTTCCCCCCCCCCCGCAAATTGGGCTTCAGAGATAAGCTACAGTCCAAGGTCAAGTCATAGCCCTGAATGTCACAGCTGAAATTTATTTAACAGTATTCGATAATCCTTTCATCTCAACACCATAGAAATTTCTTGTTTTTAGGTGCTGTCGAGTTGAATACAATGCACAGTGATCCTATGAATAACAGATCTGAACCCTGTCCTATCCTGTGCCATCCTCACAATCTCTGACACACTCAAGCCTGTTGCAGCAGTCACTGGGTCAATCCACCTGGCTGAGGGTCATCCTCTCCTTCACCATCCTTCTACCTTTCCAAGAATAATGTCTCTCTCCAACGGATAATCTCTCCACATGCCCAAAACATGTAAAATCATCATCTTTGCCTCCAAAAGGCACTCTGGCTGTGCCTTCTCCAAGACACATCTGTTTGTTCTTTTGGCCGTCCATGAGATATTCAGTACTTTAACACCACAGTTCAAAGGCATCAATTCTTCTGTCATCCCTATTCATTGTCCAGTTCTCAGATACGTAGCAAGTGATTGAAAAACAAAATAAAACAAACCATGCCCGAATCAGGCACACCTTAATCCTCAAACTGACATCATTACTCCTCAATAATTTGGAGAGATCACTGACTACAGACTTCCCCAGTACAATACACCTCCTGATCTCCTGACTGCTGGTAACAAGTGTATTGATTATGGATCCAAGTAAGATGAAGTCGTTGACGGTCTCAATCTTTTCACCATCTACCATGTTTCTACTGGTCTAGTGGCAAGGATTTTTGTTTTCTTGATATTAAGATGCAACCCATATTGAAGTTGAACTGTTTGATCATCTGGAGCAAATGCTTCAAGACATCCTCACTTTAAGGAAGCAAAGTTGTGTCATCTGCATATTGGACATTATTGATGAGCCTTCCTCCAAACCTGATGTCACATTCTTCTTCATAGAGTCCAGTTTCATAAATAATTTGCTCAGAATACAGATTCAATATAGCAGTATGTAGAAAAGATACAATCTTGATTCACATCTTTACGAATTTTAAAGTATGCAGTGTTTCCTGCTCTGTTCATCCAACAGCCTCTTGATCTAGGTACAAGTTTTGTATAAGGACAATTAAGTGTTTTCGAATCCTCATTCTTCTCAACAATTTCTCAGCAATAATTTGTTATGATCCACACAGTCAAATGCCTTTGCATAGTCAATAAACCACAAAAAGACATTCTTCTGGTATTTTTTGCTTTCAGCCAGGATTCATTTAACATCAGCAATGATACCCCTGATGCCATGGCCTTTTCTAAATCCAGCTTAAACATCTGGCAGTTTCCTATCTATGTACTCATTAAAAAAAAAAAAAATCCCCCCCCCCCCCCCTTATTGTGTATCGTCGAATTGGATCCGGCTGGCACAGGAGGAGATTGCCTCTTCTTCTCCAGTGGAGCATCTGGTGGATTTGAAGGGCACACCTTCACGACTGCAGCACAATTTCTTGCCACTAGGCCACCAGAGCTTCCTGCCTATATACTTTTATAGCTGTTTTTAAAATTATCTTCAGCAGTATTTTGCTTGCATGTGATATTAATGATACTGTTTGATAATTTCCACATTCTGTTGAATCACCTTTCTTAGGAATAGGAACAAACATGGATCTTTTCCAGTCAATCAGCAAGGCTGCTATCCTCCAAATTTCCTAGCATAGACTGGAGAGCACATCAAGAGCTGCAACTGTTAGTTGAAACATGTCAGTTGTATCCCACCAATTCCTGGGGCCTTATTTTTTTTACCAATGCTTTTTCAGTGCAACCTGAACTTCTTTCTTCATTGCCATTGGCTCTTGTTCTTATTATAATTCCTGAAATGTTTCGGGGTTGGCCAATTCTTTTTGGTACAGTGATTCTATGTACTTCCTCCATCTTCTTTTGATGTTTCCTGGATCATTCAAGATTTTGCCCACAGCATCCCTAAGTATTGCAACTCAAGGTTTGCATTTGTTTTTTAGTTCTTTCAGCTTGAGAAATCCTGAGTGGGTTCTTCTCTTTTTATTCTTCAATTCGAGGTCTCTGCACATTCTGTTACAGTAGCTTGGTTTTTCTTACTGAGCTACCTTGTAAAAGCTTCTGTTTAACTCTTTTACTCCAGCTTCTCTTCTCTTTGTTTTGGAATTTTCATGCTCTAGTGCAATTTTCAGGGTCTCTTCTAACACTCATTTTGGTTTTTTCTTTCTCCTTTGTATTTTTAGTGACTTTTTGCTCTATTCGCAAATGATATCCCTGACATCATGCCACACTCTTCTGGTCTTTGATTACTGGTGTTCAATGCTTCAAAACTAAGGAATCATTCTAGGGATGGAGATGGGAGACATTTCAACAAAGTTCTTAATAACTAACTGGAAAATATCTATAAAAATATGGCAGCAGGTGGATAGAAGAGATAGGGAATCTATGAAAAAGAAAGAGATGTATGGAAGAGGCTAAAGACACATGTTTGTGTGCTCATAGCTAACAGAACTCTTTGTTTATATCACTATTCACTTCCTCTGGCATACTTAATGGCCCAGTGTTTGGCAATGCACATAATATATCTAATATTTTCTCTGTGTAACAATATAGTCCAATAAGACTGCATTCAAATGAAAGGTGGCATTCACTATTGCAAAAAAAACCCAGAACTTTTAGAACCATTTTGTAATTGGTAACTCTAGGAAACGGTATCATTCTTTCTGGATTTCAAAGATTACAGAATATTTTTAAATGTACATTTCCAATAATTTAATTAATTTATACACTGAGTAACTAAATTAATTTACACACTAAGTTAAGGGCTCTAAATAGTATTCCTTAGTGAAAGGGAAAACCCAAAAGTTTTACCTCTTGTTTTTCTTTATTTTGACCCACATTAAGTAAAGTTGGTATTTTAGAAGAATCGGTTTTCTTCAACTCCCTCTTCATTACTTTAATCTGTTTAGCTTTTGCAAAAATAGACAGAAGAATTACATGTTATTCTTACCTTGAAAGTTTATTTTCCTTTTAAATAGAAATTCTGGTGTTCACTAAAGTCAGTTTCTCAATTTGTTACAAAGAAACTGAAAAGAAAAATAATGAGTACTAAAGATGAAATGCTTATCGATTATCTACCAAGGATCAAACAGAAGACATTTTATTTTATTCTAAGTATAACTGTTAAGCAGGTTACACATTATTTCTCTTGATCTATGGAAATACTATATTCTTGCTATTATATTAACTTTTCACAAGGTGTCACTGTTCTGCAAAGAAACACAAGTGCCTTTATTCATGACAAAGAGTTTCATTTTAGGAATTCAATGTTAAAAACTTAATGTACTAAAACTCTGGATGCCTAAAGCATATATAAAGATTCTGCCATCAACTGGGCATATGAGAATGGGGAAACAGCAAGATCCTTAAATACCATCTAACATCTCAACAACACTGAGTTAATAAAAAATTTATTTGTCAAAGCCTTTTTAACTGCTCTAAAATTATCTCTTTTAACATTTCCCCATTTCTTGAATGTGTGGGTTGAGGAGAGAGGAAATCTCATCAAGCAATTTACAGAAAATATCTGTTTTATCAATTTACTATATTTGACCTATATTACACTGTAGAATGTAAATGATAATACAAAAAAAAGCTCAGATCATGATGCCATCTGGAGATCTATAATGCAATGCAGCAAATGTACCTTCCATTCCTTTTATCTCCTTCGACTGTACTGTGACAGGAAGTTCTGGGAAATGGAATTCTTTTTTGTCAGATCTGGAAAAATTCAACTTCCTTTTGTTTCCATTTGCCATTTCGTCACTTTCGCCCATTTTCTCATCAAATACACCCTTTTCCATTTGACTCTAAACAAATAAACAAGAGTTAGCTTGAAGTAACAGTTGACTATTCACAGAACAACAATTCTAGAATTTCTAGCCATTTGAATAGAGAGACAAAAAATTTCTATCTCGTAAGGTTATCTTAATAACTAGAAATTAGAAGAGCTCTCTCTCTCTCTCGCTCTCTCTCTCTCATTGCCATCAAGTTAGAAATGACTCATAGCTGACACTTCAGTGGTTTTTCAGAGGTTGTACATTGCGAGGGAGAATATTGCCCATCTATCTCCCACTGAGCCACTGGTGAATTTCAACTGCTCAAGAGGCACTGTCTTTGAGTTAGCAGCACAATCCTCTATACCACAGAGCTCCCTACAATGTAGAATAGAGTGGTGGCCTAGTGTTGAAAAACTGTGTTAAAATCCCAAAGGCGTGAGGTTCAAATCCACCAGCTGCTCTGCAGGAGAAGGATGGGCAATCTTTTGTTTGATTAACCTGCTGGAGAATCAGCTTTGGGTTGGTTATGCAAAAACAACAAACATATCAACAGATGCAACTCCAAGGGAAATTTTTCAGTATATTTAATGCTCTGAAAAGAATAGATTAATCATGAGAATGATAGTCTTAACTTTTGCTTTTTAACACTATTATATTTTTATTTGGGCAATTTGTTTTATTAATACCTTATTTTTCTAATTATAAAATAATATGCTTAATGAGAGACATCCAATGGAATAATATTACTTATTAACTCAGCTTTCTAGGAAATCTGTTGTGGTACTCTTTTTTTTCCTCTCTCATTTGGCAACAGATAATAAACTTTCCTAGGTTAATAAACACTATTCCACAACGCAATGTGTAGTATTCCACTGAAGGGAAGTACCTTAATATGTACTTAACTGGTCACTTGTAAGTGGTTTTCTATTGTCTTCAGCTTTCAATTGTCATGAGTTATACTGTACTAATAATTTGCATTTTGAATAAACCAATTTCCTATATAAAATATTTAGTGGAGGATTATTTGTACTAGTCAATTTTTTTCCTATTGCAAAGTAGTATAAATATAATTAACAACTGCATTAAACGTATAAAGTAAGATATTAAAAATCTGTCTAAGAAGCAAAAAACCACCGGTAAAAGTAGAAATATTAATCTGCCCAAGTTTCATATTAAATACACAAGCAATACATTCTTGTGTATTTAAAAAAATAAGTAGAAATGTAGAAGAAATAAGGAAATAATGACTCTTTTATCTTAGGAAGAAAACAAAGTGGGAATTGTGATGAAGTGAATGTGTTTTGTATGTGGGAAGGACATACATTTTAGGGGGTCAAAGGGTAAATGTTATGGACTTAGGACCTTCAAAATATGTGTTGCAAATCCTATCTATTATTCCTGGGGTTATCATTCCATTTGGGAATAGATTATTTTTGTTATATTAATGAAGCAGGATTAGTGTAGGGTGTCTTCTGAGTTAATAGATGTTAAAATATAAAAGTCACTGAAACTGAAAGTCATTGCCATTAAATTGGAACCAACTGATAGCTGATAGTGAGTTTTTAGAGGATGGAAATTGCATGAGAGGAGATTTATCTCTTCCCTAATGCAGGAGAGAATTCAGACTAGACGTCTTTAGGTTAGTGGTACACCTTCCACCACAGCTTCCTTAAAATAGAAAGGATATTAAATAAGCAAGTGAAGGAAAGAAGATGAGGCAAGATGAATGCTAAGACCCATAGAGATCTCCAAGGAACAAGATACAGACGCTGAAGAAGCAAGGACCTTCCTCTAGAGCTGACAAGAGACGAAACTCTAAATTTGGACTAAGCCTCCTAAAAAGAAAACTCGTTTGGTAAAACCATCCATTTGCAGTACTTTTGTTACAACAACACTAGATAGCTAATACAAAATTTGATACCAAGAATGGACAAGCAGAAACTTAAAATGCAGAAGTAGTTTTGGAATTGAGTAACAGGTAGAGGCTGGAAGAATTTTAAGGTGGCAATGGGGTCAAGTATGTTAGAGACAGTGAGTTTGGCTCAGAGAAAGGACAAGGTTCAGGGCTAAAAATGGATGCTTGCAGCTGTTCCTCCTCGTTTTTTATTGTGTTCCAATCTGAGGGCTCTATCTTCAGGGCTTTCTCTACAACGTTCCTCTATTGTTCACAGGGTTTTCAAAGGCCTATTGTTTCAGAAGTGGATGGCCAATTCTTCTTCAAGTCTGCCTTAATCTGAAATTTCAGCCAAAACCTGTTCACCATGGGTGAGCCTGCTGATAACTGAAATACCAGTGGCATACCTACACCAGGAGGCTCTTGTCCAAACAGAGCAAGAAAACACTGCAAGTTTAAAATCAAGAAAGGGGTGTATTAGAACCATGTCCTTTCTCCGTTCCTGTTTAGTCTATATGCTGTTGTTATTGACCATGACTCATAGTGACCCTGTGTACAACAGCTCTGAACCCTGCTTTATCCTGAACCAATGTTACTGTCTCTGACACACCCTACCCTCATTACCCTGCTTACTGTGTCAATCCATCTCATCTGAGGTCTTCTTCTCCTGCACTGTCCCCTTCCACCCTTCCAAGCATGGTGTCCTACAAAGACTGTTAACACCTGGCGATATGCCCAAGGTATGTGAATTGGAGCCTCAAAATCCTTGCCTCCAAGGAGATGCTTGGTTTCATGCTATCTAGGACAGACCTGTTGGTTATCTTGGCAGTCTGTGACACAAGTAAATAATAAAAGAAGCCAAATATTATGAAGAAGAATGTGGCATCAGGACTGGAGAAAGACTCATCAATAACCTGTGTTATGCAGATGAGGAGGACATGAAGTGCTTGCTGCAGAAGATTAAAGAATGAAGCCTTTAATATGGACTATATAAAATATCAAGAAAATGGAAATATTCACCACTGGGCCAATAGGCACCATCATAATATTTGGAGAAAAGATTAAACTTGTCAACAATTTCATCTTACTTTGATCCACAATGGACATACTTGGTGTTGGCTGTCAAGAAATAAAAATATATTGCATTGAGAAAATCTGCTGTCAGTGATTTCTCCAAAGTGCTGAAGAGCAAGGATGTAATTTAAAGAGTAAGGCATGCCTGATCCAAGCCATGGTCTTTTCAATTGCTTGATTGGCATCTGAACATTGGACAATGACTAAAGATGAAAAAATTGAGCCTTTGAGTTGTGATGTTGGAAAAGAGTACTGAATATCCCATGGACTGCTAAAAGAATGAACAAGTATGTTTTGGAGAAAGTGCAACCAAGATGCTCCTTGGAAGCAAAGAGGGTGAAGCTTTATCTCACATACTTTGGACATATTGTTAAGAAGGGATAGTCTTTGGAGAAGGACATTATCGAAAGGCAGAAGGTTCATGTATGAGAGGAAGACACTCAACAAGATGGATTAACAGTTGACTGTAATAATTGACTCAAGTATTTTGGAGATGGTGAGGATGTCATAGGACACAGCCAAAATCAGATTTGTTGTTAATAAGGTCACTATGAGTCACAGTTAACTTGACAGTACAAAATAACAATAGTCCTAGGCTCCTCCCTTAAAAAGATTGTTGGTAGAATTACAGATGTCAAAAGCAATTCTGGTGAGCGCGGCGGCCGCCCCTTCGTCCGTCACGCACCGCACATTCGTGGGGAGCCTGGTGCTAAACCATTCGTAGACAACCTGCTTCTGGGTCGGGGTTTCGTACGTAGCAGAGCAGCTCCCTCGCTGCGATCTATTGAAAGTCAGCCCTCGACACAAGGGTTTGTAAAAAAAAGTAAAAAAAAAAAAAAAAGCAATTCTGGTGAGAGCCCAAAAGGGAGTAAAGAGAGTAATAGTGAAATCTCTATTGTCTTAGAGAATAATACAGTACCAGCCACAGAATACTACTGGAAAAGCAGATATTAAATGAAGCATCTAAAAAAATGATGGAAAAAAGGATACATATGATATTACATTGACAATGTTTTACTATTTTAATAACACATATGATATTTTATTAATAATACATTTAATTAAGAATAAAAGGAAATTATGAACATATGACTGGCAATGGACAAAGGGTCCTTTTTTAAAAATGCAGTGGCAAAGAATTTGTCTGAATTATGTTCAAATGCTTAGTGGAAGGTACTTTAAATGATGAAGTTGGATGATGAGATTTCCAAGTAAGAGGGCATGTGGTTTCCCTTTGCTATTTATAGTAAAAAGTAAGAAGAAAGAAATGGAGTAAGATAGAAGCCAAGACACATGGAAATCTCCAAGGAAGCAAGATGTAGGAGCTGAAGAGACAGAACCTTCCTCCAGAGCTGACAGGTAGAGCATCCTGAATCTGGTCTTCTAAACTCCTAAACTGTGAGAGAAGAAATTTGTTTGTTAAAGTTACCCACTTACATTTATTATAGCCATGCTGTCTAACTAAGATAGAAATGAAAATAGTTTTTAAAAGAGTTGAAGAGCCCAAAATAGAAAGGGAAAACCTAATGTTGAAAAAGGGTGTATTTTTATTATTTTTATTATTATTATTATTATTAATTTCAATGGACATCTACAGAGATTTTGGAATTCCATTCATTCATTGTTGCACTTTTCTCCCCACCTCCCCCACCCCCAGTTCGCTCCTCTCCTTGAAAAGCAAAAGACAAACTCCTTCATTTGTACACAATCCCCTCCCCCACCCCGCACATCCCCACCCCCACTCCAAGTATACTCCACTCTGCAACCCTCATTCCGGACTCTTATGATAATAGTTTAAAATTAATATATTTTAGGGCATTATGATTATCAGAAAAAGGGTATATTTTAATGACTAGGCTTCTTGCCTTACTTGAGTGGGACCTGTATCCTCTGGCCTGCCATTAGATAGAACATGTCCAATAGACTGTGAAAAAGTATGTCTCCTTTTTGTTTTTTCAGTTAACCTATTATTTTAAAACAAATGAGAGTGATTAGAATTCCTCCAAAATGATTTTCTTTTTGCTTCTATCATATATAAGTTTTAGTTTGGAAGTTTATTGTTATAACATTAAATGTCAAAATGTAATTGTCAATCCTTAAGTACCAATTGCTCTAACCAGAGAGGTGATTAAAAAGGGCAAAAACCTCAAAACTCACTGCCATTGAGCCAGTTCTGACTCACAGCAACACAGCAGTGAGTAACAAGAGAAGACAGAGATAAGAGAGAAGGGAGCAGTTATCCCAGGCTAATGTCTGTGGCAAGGAACATGGTCTGGGCTCTGTTGGCCTACTTAGAGTCCTTTGTAGGTTTCCGAATTCTGAGGTTGCTATCCAAGCTTGCCTTACAACCACCATTGCTGGAACCATGGTTTTGGATTCAACTTAAAAAAAAAAACACCTCTTGGACTCTTCGCTGTCTGGAGCCTGCCATATATCTTGTACAGACACAAACATGCCCACTTCCCACCAGTGCAGACCATTAAGCCTCACAACATACAGCCAAATCAGTCTGTTGGGATTTCCTCAAACCAATTATGTAGTATCTATATACATCAACTAAATATTGCTTGTTGTAACATTTGAGTGGCCTCTGACTCATGGAGACACAATGCACAAATGAACAAAGAGCTGCCTAGTCATGCACTCTATCTCCATAAGCAATTGTAGATCGGACTATTATGATCTTTAACATTTTCACAAGCTTATTTGGAAATTTAAACCAAATCCAAAGGAGCCAAAAATATGACTTTGATTTCATCGCACCTGAATTTCAGAATCATCTCAGGAACGTGTTTGAGGCCTTGAACACTAATGAGCGAAGCCCAGATGAGCTGTGGGAGGATGTCAAATGTATCATCCAGGAAGAGTGCAAACGGTCATCACAAAGACAGAAGAGGAAGAAAAGACCAAAACGGATGTCAGAAGAAACTCTGAAGATTGCACTGGAGAATAGAGAAGTCAAAGCACAAGGAAGAATTCAAGATACTAAAGAGCTGAACAGAAGATTCCAAAAGGCAGCACGGAATGACAACAAAATATTACAATGAAATGTGCGAGGAGCTAGAGTCAGAAAATCAAAAGGGCCGAACTCGTTCAACATTTTTTTTCTTTTATTGGGAAAAATATATTGGGGGTACAAGGAGGTGAGGGTTGGGGGCAGAAGGGTGAGGATGGGCCAGGATGCAGTTGCAGAGCTGCACAGTTTGGTCAGTGGGGGGA